TTCACAGGGGGTTGCGAGGCCTTCTTGACTTTAAGGGGTGTAAGAAAACTTTAACAATATACACAGTAGGTCTTTATCTCAACATTCCTGCATCAGAAATTAGAATGAGAAAAAAAACCTTTAATCTGTCAGAAGATAAGCGTATTAAATCTGTATGATTGTTAAAAATAACATTCAAAAACATAATACAGGCAATCTCTCATGCTACACACAGCATAGAAAAGATAGTTACATTTGAATAACATAATAAATCAATATACACAGTAATATTTATTTATACACTATAGCTTTACATAATGTGGTTCAAACTAACTCCAGCTGCAGCAGTGAAATGCTGCTCTAACACTGATGTATTAATAATGATGTAAAATATAATAATTTCAGTCAGAAGCAGATGAAAGCAGCAGCGTCTCCTCTCAAGTATCCTCCAGTCCCTCTACAGAGGTTTGTTGTAAAGCGTCGCCCCCTTGTGGAAATCTACAGTAATACTACCACACAGTGACAAACAGCACTGGTTCCCAACCTGTTTCCTTTAATATCACTGAGTAAACTGACTATATTTGATGGATATTTCATATTATATTCAATGTATAACAATAACAGTGGAGAACAGCTGATAAACTGAACAATGAACCCAAACAGTGAAACACATAACTGCAGGAAGTTTGTGTAAAACCATTTGGATGAATTTTAAGCAAAGATAAGTTTAACTGATATTTTTACGAACTTTTTATACAATCTTCTCTCTGTATTATGTATTTTTTTAAATCATTTTTTAACAATAATGTAAGGGATAATGCCAAAATCTAAAGTTTTTTACAAGCCATACTTTGCTTCCGTGTTAACGCCTCAGGTCCTTCCTAATACCTGAAAGAATCATTACCATCCCATAAGGTTCTGTTGCAGTAAATCCCAGTAAATAAGACGAACCACAGATACGACTCACGTTATGCAACGAGCCAGGGAGCTAATGTTATTCTAGCACGATTCAAAGTTAATAAAACAGTAAATATAATTTGACAGTATGCTTAACAACACTAGCTAGCTATCAGCCATGACATCCCAAATCAATATCAAGAGTTTCACCAGTAAAAGGACATGTGTACCTCCTGCTGCAGACTGAAGTAATGAGCTGAATGGTGGACGGGATGAGGGAGGAGTGAGTTCAGAGGGGCAGTGTCGGGCCGTGGTGTTCAGAGGATGAAAGATGACACTCAGTGCTGTCAGATAGATTTATGAGATATTCACATTTTTATATAAATGTATATAGGTATAATAGTATTAATAGGCTTGTCTGTGGACAGGTTCAGTGTTTTCCTCTCATTGTTCTATCAGCTCTTTGGTTGTTTTCTAATGCAGGACGAGGCTATTGATCAGTGAAGGCTCTGTGAAAACACACTGTGTTCAGGTTTTCAGCTACAGTCATTAAATTGGATGTAGATTTATTTACTTATGGGTCTTCCTATGATTGATATGCTGCTATCATTAATATAATACTAATCATTTGAACCACAGGCCGTCAAACACTTGACAGCAGTGGAAGATCTCTTACTTAAAAGCAACAATAAGTACTTGAGTTCAAGAAGCTTTACATTTATTGTATCTTAATTATTTGGAACTTTGATTTTAAGGGGTATATATATATGTATATATATATATATACCATATATACAGTTGGCCCATATGTTGATCTGTAACTGGTAACTAAAGCTGTCAGATAAAAGCAGTCGAGTACAATATTTCCCTCTTAAAGGTGGAGTAAAAGTATAAAGTACAGTAAAATCCAAATCAATCATATTTAAAGGCCCAGTGTGTAATATTTATTTAATATAATATTCATATGGATGTTTTCATTAGTGTAAAATCACCTGAAAGTAATAATTGTTCGTTACCTTAGAATGAGACGTTTTACAGTGGTTCGCCATGTGGAACCACCATGTTCCTACAGTAGCCCAGAACAGACAAACTGTATTCAAATGGTTGCAATCTACAACTTCCCCACTAGATGTCGCTAAATCCTATAGACTGGTCCTTTAAGCCAAAGTACTCCCGTCGTTACTTTCCACTGTTACTTTGTGATTTGAAGCTCCTAAAAAGGTGTTTTTTTATACAGAAGAACACAAATATTTTGGGCAGTCGAAGGACGTCTTACAACACTGAGCCTGAGAGAGTGAGAAGATTCAATGAAGCTGCATTTCGTATTGTTGGAAAACAGAAGCACACCTGCCTGGCAGCCGGTCCAAAACCAATATTGTTCTTGTGGGCTGAGCGAGAGGAGCTTCTTCTGAACAATTGAGGGGCGGATGGGCGAACTTTGGCCTGCGTGTTTATCCCTGTATGTCCTGGAGTTTCACTTCTACAAAGGTTTCTGTGGAAGGAAACTTGCAATGTAGTAACGGTGGATTGCAGTTAATGTGTTATATTTTGAATATAATATGAAATATCCATAAAATGTTGGGAACCACTGCTGTTCCTCTCCAGCCCTGATTCCCTCACAGAACTCGGTTTAGTCTTGTTTGTGTTTGGCCATGAAGTTCTTGCCCAGCCCGGGTTGGACAGAAACACAAATCCTGGTAAATATTAGCTTTAGAGTCCAGTTGATGTTAGTGGTAAACAAAAAGCAGCGAGAACCACCGACAACAACCGAGAACTAATCACGAATAAACACATCTTTTATGTCCCTGGAACAATCTGTAACATCAGATCTATTTTTACATTTAATGTGGATTTATATAATAGCAGGAAACTTAAAGCTGGTGTCTGAATGGAAAAGAAAACAAAAACATGGTGTGTTGGCAGAAGAACTAATCCATGTTTGTTTTGTAGGCGGGTTTGATTGCAGATCAGGGAGGCAGCAGGTGGTTTTTGGGATCCATGTGGGCTCAGTTTTCAGCTCTGTGGGGTTTTTTATCTCAACTGTGTCTGGGGCTTGTAGCAGCTGTAGTTTCAGTACAGTTACCTCGGTGGAGAACATGATATACTGACGCAGATCATCCAGGGCGTCGGTCAACAGTGACAAACACTGAACGCTG